GCCTCCAGGGGATAAAATCAGCAATTTATGCAACACTGGTGTCCAGTTCACTGTCCCATTTGGTAGGCCATCCTCCTTTCTGACTTATCCACCCACAGAGTTTAATCTCATCTGATTTTTTCCCCCCAGTGAATCAGGTTATCACTTCATCATAAGCATTGGCTGGAGGGTTATAAATGTTTCAATGATCTTTTTAAATTCCTGTTTCAAAACTGCATCAGTTTAGGCCATGAAAACACCTACAAGAAACTTTTGCTTGTGCATGTGTAGAAAGGAGAAGAGGGGGAGGAACTTACACACACCAGCACAATAGCTGAAGAAATAGATTTCAGCGCTCTAATCGTAGAATGGTGAGAGTGATTTTTTTTTTAAAGCTCAATCCCCTCCCCACCTCCCAAAAAATACAGCCTACAAATGAGACTGTGGCAAGTGACTGTTGGGGAAAATGAAAGTTTGTAGACATCCGCTTGTTCAATTGCAGATGAAATCAGTTACCTGGACAGCTCTCTGCCAACAACTTGGAAACTGTGAAAGAAAAGCCTGTTTTAAAAATAATGTTTTGAAGTGGTGCAAAGATCCAGATTCAACCCTAGAGCTGAGTGCAGAAATTTTCTGGCCTTTGTTTTCCTTACACTATTATCATTTTAGAAATAGTAAGCACTGCAGGAATCAGCTCCTACTCTAATGACCTCAGTACCATCAGCTGGAAAGAACATGATCAGGAAGCCCAGGATCAAAGGGGAATAAGAGGATTTTTTTGTGCTGCATTTTCCTAAACTGCTATAACTATGACACACTCTGTAAGGGAGCAAACACGTCAGGCAGCAACCTGTCTAACCCTAGCAAAATGCTTCCAAATAGGACATGCAGGTGGGGAGATTCAAACAATGCTAAATAAGCTGTACCCAAGCTCCAGCTGTTTCTACTTTGCATGGACTAATTTCAGTTACTGGGTCAGAGAGAATTACTCCACAGTAATTAGGTTATGCTCCTGGAGGAGGGAACACTTTGTTCCACTGACTTCTTCCAAGTCTGAAGTTTTTACTCTGTTCAGTAATAACATCAGGTCTAATAGGAGGCTTAGTTCCCTTACCCATCATGTGGTGAATGAAACATTGTATCATCATAGGACATTGTGGTTTGAGAAGAGATATGCTGGAGGTGCTGTGCTGGTAAAGGTAAAGCATCCTTGGGGTTCTGGAAATTTAAACAACAATTTTCTAACAAGAAGGACTGCTGCTGACTCAGGGTAATCCTATATCAGGCTTCAATCTGAAGGAGAAAAATGTGTTGCTCTCTAACGAAAACAGCGATGGTTAATCTAGTGCAAATGATCAAGGTTTGTAAGCAGAATATGGGCTTGACTGGTAATGTTTACTACATGTTTTAAAAGGCTTGATTGTTTTGTGTTTCAGAAAGCTTGCAAGCTAAAGCTGGAGAAATTTTAAACATAAAAAGTGAATGATGATTAAGAGAGAGTCGAGAAATGTATTATTAGATGTCCTTTCCCCTTACCCCTGCCACAAGAGTGCTAATCTCTATTTAAAAAAAAGAACTTTGTTTAGAAGTACAAATAAGACTTAAAAATAGTAAGCAACAAATAACAATTGGGGGATAAGGGAAATTGATAGTATTCGTATTTCCCAATTCCAATTTGTATAAATTATTAAAAAAGCAAAATGTGTTAAAAAAGTCTGTAGTCAGTGGATCAAGAAAATCAGTGTTCAACTTTTTTAGACTCAAGGCACAGCTAGAATATGCCAGCTCTTCTTAGATTTCATTTGCGTTTTTGATTATGGAAAAATAACAGCACAATTCTTTTGCTGCAAAGAACTCAGAAAGACCACAGTATGTTACAATGTTTTTGACACTCTGGATTCCTACTTGAAATCTGTGGGTTTATCTTGTAAATCATGTGCTGGTATTGTGCAACACCCTTAAAAGGATCTTGTGGCACCCCAGGGCCCCATGGC